AAATGCAGAGAACATTTCTATAAGAATTACTTTTATGAAACTGATTTTATTCCGTTCCCAAAAGTTTAAGAAGTGACAGGTTATGAGAGGTCTTTGCAGAAAACTTTCATTCATTCATCTTCCTCTACTTCTAGCCACTTTTTTTGAAAGGTTGCATTACACCTTTTAGCTTATCATAGGTACGTAAAAGTAGGGACCAATCTTTGACAAACAATAGTAATAATGATAACGACAATAATGATAATAATAATAGTAACAATAATGATAATAATCATTATTATTATAATAACAGTGATGAAAATAGTACTAGCAGTAATAATAGTAACAGCAGTAAATCCAGGCCAGAAAAGTTGTGCATAATATCGCATCCGACATAGAAATGTGCTCAGAAGGATGCGAAAACGCACATTTGGTTTTACGCACGTGAACTTCATGGGGCCCAGAAAATTCCCACTCATTTATGGCCAACGGGTTATATTTCAAAATTTCAGCTCATAGTCCTTGCACATCCGAAGTCGAACTAATCGGGCAGTAAAACATCCATAAATGAATACATTTGATCCCATTACGAGGTATTTTTCTGAGTTTAGCAAAAGTACTGCCCGTGGTGAATTGTTATAGTTACTATACTGTGCTACAAAATTTGTTTCCCGCAACATGTCATAAACCTCACACGCACAGTTAATGACCAACTTAAATTCGAAGAATAAAATGTGAAATTTAAAAAAACCCTATACACGGGAAAGAACTGGCAAAATACAAGCAATATAATGAGTTGAAATGTTTCAGTTAGATATTTATGAGTTTGAATGTTTTATTTAGATATTTATACATTTCCTCGGGATTTTTGGCAGAAAACGTCGTAACAAGATAATGGTGGGCAGAAAAAATACGGATGAAACGAAATAATGAAACGAAAGCTTCCCCGTTCAGCCAACAACTTTCTTCAGAAAACTAAGAATGAAAAAACTCGAAAATGCTAATCCACTAATCAGTCTGAAAATTTCACAGAATGCTCCAGAAAAAAAATTTTTTTAAAACATTTTTAAGAGACTATGTTCTGGCAGTAAGCTGTGTCAAAACAGGAAAATGATGCTCACGGTGTAGAGGAAATGATACTAAAATTAAGGTGGTGTAGACGCTCCGCGCTGCTCGAGTTTTACTTGATCATGAATCGACTGAGAGGTACGCGAAGTGTTTGAAAATAATTTTCCAACTTGGCCAGGTCCGAGAAGAGGTTATTTTTTTAATGTGT